CGGCTGCAGCCTGGCCGCCTGCTACGTGAACCCCAGCCTCAGCCAGCTGCCCTCGCCGGCGGAGGAGGCCGACCACGACCTCTGCGTGCACTTGGTGCAGCTGCTCCACGGCACGCTGGTGGATAACATGCGGACCATGCAGGTGGCCGAGAAGTGCCTGCAGATGGACATCTTCCAGGTCGAGGACCTGGAGCGGGTAAGTGGGCCCCGCCCGTGGGGAGGTTCTGCCGCCTGTGTCTACAGGCACCGGCCACCCCCGGGAGCTATGGGAGAGAAAAGAAGTAGTAGCAATATACGGTGTTGTAAGTACAGAAATGAAAGGCGGTTAAGGAGACCAAGAACCCAAACTCTAGGGAACAGAGAAACAGGACTCCAAGTAGGCCACAAAAAGCTGTTTAGTGGTGGGCCAGGAGGACGGATGCTGGCTAAGAACCAGGGAAAGAAATTGTGTTGAACAGAGAGCTGGAATAGACCAGGATCTAAGTGGCAGGATCCTGACTAGCACTGCTGATGTGTCTCACTTTGCCACTTAGCCCAGGCTCAGAAGACCATAAAGTGTATTCTGGCCTCTGAGCTGTACCGTAAGGTACTGCTCGCCCATAAAGTCCTAGAGAATACCTAAGTTAAAACAAAACAAAACCTGCTTCTGAGAACAGAGTGGACAACGAAGCTGAGCAGAAATGCCACTTTGTCAAGAAAGAGTAAGTGTTATTCTTTGGTGAAAACATTTGGCAATGTTTGCTCCATTTGACCAACAATGATATGCCCAGACTGTTGTGAAACTTATTTGGAAACCAAAAAAATGGGTATCCTGCGACTTAGTGTTACAAGAATAAACCGAAGTAAGATTTGCCATAGGGACAAGGGAAAAAATGGCAAATTAATGGGGGAACTACATCATATTTGCACTCTGAGCTTTTCCATCAACTTTTTAGGTAGTTGATGCTTTGTCTCAGCTAAATAACAGTCATATGCCTCATTTCATCAAGATGGGTGACTGTCAGGGAACAGCAAAGGCCAGATGCTCCCTAAGGGAGGAAGACCCAGGAATCAAGCGTGGTAACACAGCTGGCAGGGGCGCGGGCCTCGCCTGCCCCATTCCTGAATTGTTCCACATGTTCTCTGGGCATCTTTTTGCTGCTGGTATTTCTGTTGAAGCCCTTCATTACCCTTCACATCCTTGTCAGTTCCAGCTCTACCAGGGCTTTGGCCTTAATGCCATCCCTGCATACCTGAACAGTGCTTCCTATATTCCTTTCTGATCACCTCTTCCTACTGCCATGTCCCATAGACTTCCTTTTTGCTTTCAAGCCCTGCTCAGCTGAACTAACCTGCTGCTGTCCCTGCCCATTTGCTTGCTTATCAGTATGGATGATTCATGAGCATTGAGGAGGTTGTCCTTAAAGACTGAACACCTGCCCCAGGCTGCTTTGCTTTGGGACAGCCTCTCTGTTTCTCTTGTGATCACCTGCCTGCCTAGTTTCACTCAAGACAGCCTTGGGAAGCTTTTCCATAGCTTCTTCCAGGGCAATAGCTTTTCTAGAGGCTTAGTTATTGTACCTTCAAGTGGGAAGTGCAATGATGAAGCAAGCGTTTAAGAAGGAAAATGTTCCATTTTATGTATGAATTTGCATCAGAGATTAAGTCTGAGGTCTGGTAAGCTGCGTGGCTTCACTGTGTCTATGATCAAGGTTGGCTATTTGCTAAATCAGTTTTAACAGTGATTGTTCCATAATAATGATTATTATATAATGGTTATTATTATAACCATTGTTCAGTACTACCACTCTCAAATAAAATTTCAGATCTGAGTTTTATATATCCTACCTGAAACCGTATGTGATAAATATGAGGTTGGACAAAAATACAATATATTTCTTCTGCTGAATAAAATTATTGCAGGCCCACTTCGTATCTCTACTTCTACCTGTGTTTTAAATGGTGACAGAGAAGTGTTTTTGTAAACATGCTGTCCTTAGTAATGTATCCAAACCATTTAAAAATTATATCTCAAGGTTTTTTTTATTTTATTTTCACCAGATCCAGACTGTTACTGAAAATCGTGGGAACAGAGATGGTGCAAGGGAACTGTTAAGTAGAATAGTTCAGAAGAAGGACTGGTTCTCCCCTTTTTTGATCGCTTTGCGTGGAACCCAACATGAAGACCTTGCAGATGATTTAAGTGGAAATACGGGAGGTAATCACCTTATTAAACTAGTACTAATGACTTCTTTTAATATCTTTTTTTTTTTTAATTATGACTTAGGAAACAGTACAGCATTCTCATTGTATTGATTTCCCTGCATCACTGAGACTAATGCTTTCAGTTATCCAAGGCTTTCAGGATCAAGTTTCTTAACAGCTTACTTTATAGATTCTTAAACACTAAAATTGTTATTAAATAACATCAGAATTCTAATAACATGTATATAATTATAACTCAACTGAATACTTACTGTTTATTACCTATTTGTTTTCGGCGTGATATTTTTATAATAATTAATTAAATATATTCTGAATATTATTTTGACTAGTGTTTCCTTAATAGTACAGATTTACAAATACATATAATGGGATAAGACAGTCACAAGTCTCTAGAGATATTGTATAAAATTGACTGTAAAGAATAAACTAGTAAACAGATTACTTATAGGAAAAAAAGTAAAAGCTACAGAATTTTGGCTAGTACTTTCCAATACCACGCAGTGATTATTACATAATAAAATTATCCCAGTGCTTCCCTAAAACGTTCTAAAACATGAAAAACAGAAGCAGCCCCCAAGTACACTCTCTCTCATTTTATACTGGGCTCAGCATATGTTTGGTAAGATTTCTGGGGACTAAACTTTTTAACCAGATTTCCCATTTTGCATCTTCAGCCTTCTTGCTTGAGAAGCTCACCAGAACTATGTCTTTGTGGCCCCCATGTAATTTTAGTTGCTGCATATGGGACTACACGTTCAGACTGGCGTAAGAGGTGCATGAAGGTGTCTCTTCCACTTGAGGACAGGAATCGACCGGATTCCTCTGCCACACACGAATAAGCAGCAGCTACATTTAAGCATGCCTTTTCACTGTATCTTCCAGCTTGCAGGACAGGACCAATCAGGTCGGAGCCTTAAAAAGTAGTTCTGCAGGAACATCAGAGGCTAGGAGTAGTGCAGCAGCTACTGTGGTCCTAAACTTCATTTTGTGTTGCAGCTTTGTCAGGCTTAAGTTCTTGTGTTTCTTACTTTGCTATCGTAAGGTAAGCAAAGTAATAAATACTTAGCAAATAAGCAAACTGTGAAAATTATTTCCCTGCAAACTGCATTTCTGAATCTTCAGTATGGTGCAGACCAGATAGGGTAACACTTAAGTAGTTTAATTCACTTGTTTGATGGAATGCTGAATGTATCTATTTATTCAAAGGTTTCTCAGTAATCTTTGGTAATGCAGCCCCAAAAAGAAACTGTGCAGATTAACGTGTAACGCTTAAATCATGTTAGTCTAACCAGAGTATAAGACATTTTCCAGGTACACAGTTCTATACGTGTAATGTCCACTCATACAATGACAAGTACAGGAAGCACTAAGAAAAGGCTCATCGGGTACCTTGTGAGGAGAAGAGTGTTGGTACATTTTATAGCTCAAGTCTGATCCCTAATGATTTGTTATAGTAAAATAAGTTGTCATTACCAGATTCTTATATGTAGCAATTGAGAACTTTATAGAAAATTAATCTTGTCATAAAAAAAACTATTAATTTCTTTAAATTTAATTTCTAATTGCACAGTAATGGAATCCAAATCTGGAAAACCCTGGAATGCAATTTTCCAAAGTTTTATGAAGAGTTTTTAATTTGTTGAACAGCATTTTCACCTTTAGAGTATGCCTGGTTTTATATGTCTGTAATAAAAATAATACCAGAACATAAGTCAAAAAGAAAGAATTTTTATATTTGAAATAAAACAAAACAATGGAAGGAGGGTGAACATTTTCAGAAAGCTCTCAAGTTTCCTATTTTATGGGAAAGTATTAAAGCCTAAGACGAAGTCCTGCTCTGAGGTACATCCATTTATGAGCTTACAGAACCGATGGAGTTAAGACAAGATACAACACAGATCTAGTCCACTAATTCAATTTTCAGATCTTCATAGTGACAGCAAATATTAGAGATTAATGACAAACAACTTTATTTTGTAAATATTTGTAAGAACACTGACAATCCAAACTACGATGTTTAAGTCAAGACCAAGATTGTATGTCATGCCATTATGTGCTAACTTGAACATGAATGATGAATTCAGTTTAGTTCTGTGTTTTCTGTGCTCCACACTAAAAGAAAGTAAATGTTTTATAGTGCATTTCTATTTATTTTCTAGGAATAGAAAATAGAGAAAACGAAATGAATAACAGGACAAATGAAGAAACAGAAGTCACAAGGCAACCGGGACATGCTATAGTGGAGGATTTCAAACAGCAAGAAAATATGAATGACAGGTTAGCCAGTGAGAGTAACGTTTTGGAAAGATCTATTGGAGAGAATTCTGTAGCTTCAGGTACGTCCAATAATTGTTATTTTATTCTGGTACCACTTAAACTGTAGTAACTGGGAGCAACTCAGTGGAAATTCTATAGCACTTGTTTCTCATTAGCTCCCATGTTGCTCAAAAATTCAGGAACATATGGTACCGTTGATGTGAAGGGAATGAATGGAAAACATACATCTTGATTTCTTGGAAGCAGTAAATTCAGTTTTTTCCTGTGAATTAACAGTAGTGGCGATTTTAGGGGTCAGATCTTCTAGTTTGCTCACTTCGGTTCAAAGGAGCAGATCTAGGATGAGAAATTAATAATATTGTCATCCTTGAACTAATTAATCTGAAAAGTATGAAAAAAATCTTCACCTAAAATAAATATGAAGAGCTGATTCAGAAACCAGTTTGCTTGTGCAGTACAGAATTGAGAGGACATGGCCAAAAAAGCTGTGGCATGCTATGTGTAGTCTTCATGGAGACAATGCTCTGTTTACCCTGCTTGTAGTGATTATGTTTGATATACTGTGGTCTGTTTGATCTCCCAATTGAGCAACATTAGTGGTCTTCCTTTTCTCTTAAGTAGTATTTTTAAACAACCTTGTATTAATTTTTTATTACTTTACTGTGTAAAGAAATGAATAATTTTCACATGCGTACTTCTTTAGTATTATTAATTATATTAATACTGTTAAATTAATCCTCTGTCTCACACCTGTTCAAGGTAGGTTTGTACTAATCAATGAAAAATTTGGTTTACATTAGCAACTCCTCCCAGCAATGACAAAGTTTAAATCAAGAAGAGTGTTTCTACATCAGTAAAACTGCATCTATATCAAGATCTTCTGTTAGTAGAGGGCTGATGTTTGATACTGGAAACATTTTTATCTTTAGTCCTTTAGAACTAGTTGTCCAACAAGTACTTTTTAGGGTTTATATTTACAGAGCATCAGATTAAGCCTGAATCACTTCACATCACATGCTCAGAAGTACAGCTTTAAGGAATTGTTTGAGCCTGTTGTTCATATGGATCTACTTCTAAAATTGTGCATTGGTAGCTGATTATGAGCAGCAGCAATTGCAGAGCTAACTGGGAACTGATGATTCAAACATATGCTCTATGATTAAGGAACCATTCGTATTTGTTACAACTTCAGATGGAACTCAAACAATAGTTGAAACTGAGATAAATCCTGCATGAAATGATTTTATTGGTCTTAGTGAGCCAAGGAAGTGAGACAGCTAGTGCTGCATTTTTTTATAAAACATGAATAAATCAAGAAGAATTTGGCTCGAAAGCTGCAGCCTTTCAGTGTGCAACAGTAGATAGATTATTTTTTCATTTCATGATATCAACAGCATATCGAAGTGCTTGGTAGCAAGTAGTGAATTAACTACAGCAAAAATACCAGTCTAGTTTTCCTGGATTGGAACATACCTTGGCAGTACAAAGAAGAAGTTCCAAATATTTAAGGATGTTACGGAATGGATTAAACTGAATTATCCTCACTCTAAGTTAGGATCCTTTCAGTGCAAGGTTTAGACTTTTAGTTGCAGCCAATGGAGGGTAGGACTTGCAGGTAACTAAAGCTATTTAGCTGTCCACTAGCCTGGCACAAGCTAATTCCAGCCTGAAAACTATCATCTAATCAGCACAGAACTGTAGTCATATTAAATAGACAATGTGAATGTCTACATTAGCAAGTTATGTGGTTGAGCAGGTCTGTACGGTGAAGTAGTCAGTCCGAAAATGTTTGTGTTTTGCTGTATTTCAATGGTTTGCTTCAGATTAACTTTAGTCTTTTGCTGTGGACTGCCTGTCTGTGAGTGGCTGAAACACAGCTCATTATGTTTCAGCCAAGGGAGTTAATTTCACGTAGTCCAAAACATCTCTGTGATGTGAACCAAAGTAAAATAAGTGGAGGCAATTGGCAGACTCACTTTAAAAGTGCAATTCTGAGCTGGACTGAAACAGCAGTGTAGATGCAATGTAGCAAGGGCTGCCAGAAGACAGTGCTGCATTATCATGGCTGTAGAGGAACTAGCTCACGTTCAGCCATCCATGTAGTAAGCTTTGATCTGTATGCACTTGTACAAACACAGAAATGCATTCAAGTCTTCCTCCAGTTCCATCCTTTCTCGTGTATCTCTCATTAGACTATATTTTTAAACCAGATGGCTAAAAATACAATTAGAGCCCAGATTCTACTTCCACATGGGCTGGGAACCCACCTAATTTGCAATTCGATGCTGTCAAGGGTCGTCAGTTTTGCAGTAAATTCTCACCATTCCTCCATGTATTGAGAAAGACGGACAAATTTCAAGGAGAAAGAAGCTTTCTCAAATCACTTGAATTTACTGCGATTTCATTGGATCTAAAGCCTCCTCTGACCCTTTTGTTGGAGTACGTAGGGCAGGGTGAGTCAGGGACAAGTATAAGAGCAGTAGGGTCATAAGGACGAAGTAGAAATAGATGGTTTAGCCTAAGAGAAAACTAGAAAGAACCTGCACTTACAAAAAAACAGATTAAAAACCTGTACACACAAAAACCAACATAAAAACAGCAAGTTTGCATAGATCAGAAGTGGAATACTTGAATTAAGTTTCCGGTTACCTGTATGAATCACACTTTAAATAAATAGCAGCTCTATTTGTCAAGATCTGTTTCATAAAATGGAGTTGACTGGAACAAGTAATTATACTGTCAAAAAATTACAGATGGAAAATAAGTTCACGTACCCTATTTCTATCCGTTCTCGCCATCATATACAGGGCCATAATTTTCAAGAATGTTTTGCCCCCTGCTGGTTCCAGTACAATCTGGTAATGAATGTTTGATTATTTACCTGTGGTAAATGTAAGGTGTATGGAGTTTTCAATAATGTCTTACAAAATGTGGCCCTTAATGCTTTCAATTAGAAAAACTGCTGATTATTGGGACCAATTTTACTAACTTGTTCATATTTTGATCCTTTATCCATTTATATTTTCCCATATTTGAAATTTATTCTATGACATGATGTAGCACAGGCCAGGAAAGGAGGATTTTTTATTATTAAAAAACACAACGATCCATGTTCTTTGCATTCCATTGTCTATTTATTTATTTGCCAATGCAAAGTGACTGGAAAATCTCTCTATGGAGGGCACTGCGTTATAGTATGCAAGTAGTGCTGTAAGGGAATACTGCTGAAATTAGTGAAAATAACTGTTATAATATCAACCTTTTTATCATAACTATTTATAATAATTCAAGAACACTGCCACAATTTATAAAGGAGAACGTTACGCTGTCCACCTTTCATTTGGAAAATGAGTATTTTACATTCACTTTCTCCACTGATGTTCTATTGAGAGGTGATTTTGTAATGCATACTGCACATTGTAATTCAGATAATTATTTACAAAACACTGTGAATGCATATTCACTGCTGCATGTATATCTTTCAGTAGTCATTTTAGATAGGAGATCACACAGAATAGATGCATAGAATTTTAATTTTATTCCCTCCTTCCTATCCATGTGGATTCCTAGAAAGTGAAAGCAAGAGATGTCAATGTCATTTTCATACCTGGAATTCCCACTGATGCTGCTTAATAGTTTGTCACAGGTCTTTGAACACATCTTATAACTGGTAATGCTTTCTTCTGTTCTCAGGACAAGACTGTCTTTTAATGGAATATTAGATATATGCTATTATATAATTACAGGGGAAATTTATATAAATTGGGCTCCAGATGCATTTTTTAAAAGTGCCTTTCTGTTGACTGTGCTAATTGCTAAGAGAAATTTTTTCTAGCCTTTTAATTTAGGTGCTTGAAGTCTTTAAATACCCCTCCCCATCATAACACTTCCCATGGATGGTTGTAACTTCTAGTTGCACCAGGTTTTGAGGTTTGTATGGAATAAATGAGGAAACTTGTAGGACACAAAGACAGATGTTTGCATCACTTTTCATGATTATATAAGTAAGAAGAACAAATTAGCAGTTAAAGTTGAACAAATTTCTGACTCTATAGCGACTCAGGTAGCTTGGTATAGAACTTATGTTTCAGTTGTCTCTATTATACTTGTTCTGGGAGCTAGCAGTTTCATTTCCGTTAGTCATTCATCTTCCAAGGAGACCAAAACTTGCATAAAGGAAAGTCAAAGCTTCGTATTTTTGCTGAACACAGATGGCTAAATTCCCACCTCACTTGCCAAGACACTAGTAACGTATTTCAGGAGTATACCGTTCTCGGAGTTAAGTGTCCGTAAGTTCTCTTTAGTGCTGAACTTTCATTCATAGTGTCTATCTTGCTGTATGAATTATTTGTTGGGGACAGTAAGTTTTATGCCTATGGACAGCAATGGGATATTCACTGGAAAAGCTATGGAAAAAATTGATAGGCCCCAAGTTACATGAGCTAGTTAGGCAAAATGGAGGTGAATGCTGTTATCCTGATTGATTTCCTATATGCACTTTGAGCTCCATTGCAGAATGCTAGAGATAAGCTGACAGATGGTGCAGGATGAGTCTGTTTGGAGCAGATCTTTTCCAGAAAAATTCTATATCTCTTCAGATGTCAAAATGTCTGAGTTTTTGGAAAATCTAACTATATAAATTGCGTTGTTGGGTCAGGAAAAAAAAATCGGTGTAATATATTTATCGCCCAGCAGAGGGAGAGCTTAACATTAGAATATCCATAACATACTTGCCAGATTTCTGTGGTAGTATCCAAGTCTTCTAGTGGGTGCAATGGGATTGTCAGTTTCTGCTTTTACTTGCTAAAAGCCTGAAAGATTTAATAGTTCCATTTTGTTTTTATTTACCTGGGATCTGTGACTTAATCTTTTCTATGTTATGTGCAGAAACCTGTTTTTTAAAAAAAACATATCTGATTTACGGGTAAAATCCCTATGGCTTTCAGGGAGTACAACAGAACGTTTGTCTTTAATATACTTGAAGCACTGTGTGTCCAGTAGAACTGCATGTTTTTCTTTCTTTTTTGCTCTTCCATTCCCTTCTGAAAAGATACAGAAAAACAGGACTAGAAAGAATCATGCAGGTGGTCATGTCCAGGCCACTGCTTTCAGGCAAACACCCAAGAGATGCATGACTACACTAAATCATGACATTGCTTTTCCTTTTTATGTTTTGGATTTTTGATTCTATCTTTAATAAGAAAATAAGTTACATTGCTCAATTTTTCTTTGTCTAAGAAAAAGTTAAATAAAATAAACTATACCACAGGAATCCGTGCCAGACACTTGTCTTCTCTATTGTAAGACCTTTAGATGAAGAAAATTCTGCAGACATCCTGAAGTTGAATTTTATTAGCTTTTAATTGATTATTTTCCTTATTGTTCCTACAGTCCCTGGGTTGTTAACAACAATAGTTAATGCCCGTTGTCTTCCCAGCAGCCTTTTATGATTAGAGGAAGACTGTGTTCTGTTGTCCTTTCCTCCTGTCTTCTTTCTTTTATTTCCTTTTGCTTTAAACTAGCACAGATCTTTTAAAGTACATGTCACGTTTTCTAAACCTCTTTTCGTTCTAATTGTTTCTTGCCTTTTGAAAGTTTAGTGCCTAGAACAGGACGAAATATTCTAGATAAGAGCATTTAACAAATCAGGGTAATTCTCTCCTTTGTCTATTAGCACACCTTTTAACACATACTGGATAAAGGTTTGCTCTTTTTTTGTGATGATGTCACTCACTATTGATGTGCATTTAGTCTGGGACGTGAAACTCACCATAGCCCTTTCTGTCATACAGCTGCCTTGATCACAGGCCACCTCTACAATTTAAGTTCAGTTTGAATTTAGATCTTGTTCTCAAGACTTCCCAAAGTCCCATAGACTTTTGTCTTCTACATAATTCTTAAGTGGTTATCAGGCTCACAGGTAACATGAAAACGTTCAATAGAACTGAGTCTAGGACTTATCTCCTCTTTAGACTCACCTAACATGCCTCCTGCTTGGCCAGTGAACTTTTAATAGCTATGCTTTCAGTGAGATGAATGACGTGAGAGGAATATGCTTTCTTGTGGTACTAAACACTCAGCTTAGAAATCTTACAAGGTAATATGGAAGGCTTTGGGAACCTAGAGTACATTTGGAAATGATTGTTTTAATGACCCCATTTTATGAACATAAAGAACTTTACTAGAGGTTTCTGGTATAATTTATTACTTTCAGGACTGAAGACTTGGTAAGTTCATTTAAACTTTCTAGATTCCCTTATTGCTTCTGTTAATCTACTCCAAAATGAAACTCCTTTACATCTGTGTTCTGCAGGCAGATGATCTTAACATTATCAAGAAAAAAAGCTGCACAGAGTAGCACTGGTGTTACCCCTTCCAATTCAAATAAAAGTCAAGCCTGTCCGGACCTAGCTCTATGTTTAAAGCATATTAAACAGATTCCACTATGGAATATTTCTCAAAATTTTTGAAAAAACCTCTGTTTGGCTTATCTGTCTTCGTTCAGTCTGTGAAGCAGCAACAACTTGCTTCCCGCAAGGCTGGAGACGAAAAGCAGCTGTAATTACTGCCTGAAGATATAAATTCTTTGCCTAGGTATAATTAAAGGCAGTTAAAGACAGGTTGCATTTCTGTGGTTACCGCTATTTTTGGACTGTAATTACAGCCATTTCTTATTTTTGATATTAAGCTGCAGCTGCCAGCACCTATTAACGCTGCTTTTGTCTGATGTGGTTCGGACCTGTGATTCAGAAACACTGTAGTAAGGAATCTGCTAGTAATAATAGCAGGTAGTACAGAAACAGTTGCCTCACTTTTGCTCCCATTCCTCACACTCCTTGACATAGTAAGAGAATATGGTGGAGTAGTGTGGAATATATAATGTATCATCAAGGCTAGGCTCTGGCTGCAAGCTGCCTAACTTAGATCAGACTTCCAATTATTTAGGGAGATAGAGAGAGATACCATTTTGCTATTTGTATAGCAAACCTACTATCTGCATATGGTTTTTAATAAATGCTATTATCTCCTGTTTATATGTATATTGGTTTGTGTTTTTCGTTTAGAGTCTGATGTCTGTATAGGAGATGGAAGTGTCAGTAACATGAATGCAAACCTGGCACAGAGCGGCAGCACAACCAGTGATTCAGGTATGTTTCTCTTCTGTTATTTAGTAATTGTAAAATAAGCTCTGGAGGGGTAAGCACTCTGTGAATGGGCTAGAACAAAAATCAAAGGTTTTTACTGTGAACTCTAGCAACAGTTTTCAGGTGCAAGACTTCCTCTTATTTTGTTGGAAATTAGATGCCATTTTTATAGGTCTGGACTTAACTCCCAACCCCAAGAAGAGTTGATTTGTTGGGATCCTCTGACTAGGTCTCCAGAGCTTGCCATCATACAAATGGTCAATGATACAGAATAATAGAATTATGTAGGTTAGAAGGGACTTCCAGAGGTCATCTAGTCCAATCCCCTGAACAGATTCATAATACCGCAATATATAAGCGCTTCCTCTCCTTTCAGAGAAGAGCCTGGCCCCTGCATAGGGGAAGTGAGAGGGAATAGGCCATGCTTTGGAGTCATCTAAGGATGAGGAGAATCATTTCCAAGGGACTTGCAGAACCATATGAAGGTCCATTTTGGGCCTAATTTCATAGCACTATTCATAAAAGTGTTTAGCAACCTGATCAGTGGGAGTTATTATCCAGAGACATTTGCAGATCTGTTTTTTAAACATATCTGCAAGTTAAACAATATGTAGCACTAAACTAAAGATGAAACTGTGTTTACACAATACTTCGTACACAGATTTGATCTTGCTCCATATATACTCTTGAGCCTAAGCAAATACTGCTGTTCTAAAAGACATCCCAGATATCCTCCTCCCTTTTTTTTTCTTAATCTTGGACCTCAGGCCAAACTAATTTGCAGCTGTCTACCATGTAGGATTTAAGCATACCTTGTATTTGCCTGCACAGAATTCAAGAGGAACAAAATGCCGTTTGGCATCCTTAGTAAAGTTTGTTCTGGGACTATGTCTTGTGCAGGGGCTAGGAATAATCTGGGTACCTTACAGACCAGCTTTGTCTAATAAAGCTATTAGATCAGTAAAGTCAATGTAATTCTTATAAGTAGTATATGCCCGCAAAGCGTGATAAATGCTTTAAAGTAGTTATAGCCTTGTTTAATACTAAAATTAATCCATTTTACAAATACACAGAAAATTCAGAGCATCTTGAATCTAAATTGCCTTCTTATAGATAGAGTTTTAGTACAAGCATTGTTAGCTCTGAGGAATATGCTTTGCACTTCTGTGTCAACTGAGGTGACTTATCGGTCATGTTAAGTTCTTTTCCTCGCTGGGTCACATGAAATGTCAGGGCAGAGAAACTTCTCTATTCTATGCATAGTCACAATGGATCAGTTGGTCAAACTGATGTAAACTACTGGGGAGTAACACATATATAAATGGCCTGACATTAAGGTCACTGAAAAACCTCCCATTAAGCAACTCGGACATTGGCTATATCCAGTAGTTCCGTAGAAAAGAAATCACTAAAGTTATGTGAAAACTGCAGAATGGATTTTTTTATGATCATTTGCTATATGTTCTGTTAACACATGAGCTTTAAAAACAATTAGTTAAAACATTTTTTTAAAAAGATTCATGCTTTTATTATAGCCTAGTAAACTCAGTGAGAGCAAGCATGAGAACAATAGCTAAGGTGGTACAGGTAGACTTTGTGGCATTTATGTATTTTATGATTTCAAATTTTGCAGTAAAGTTGTTGTATTAAACAGATGTATAGGTAGTGTCTTAATGCACTGACATGATTTGGATTTTAATGCACAGAAACATATGGATTTAGTCAGTTTTCTGTGCAAGCATCATTTTACGTTGAAGAAGAATGTTAGAATTTTAGATTTAGAAGAACAGAAGAATAATTATCATGATTCTTTTAGCCTGGAGCAGCAATTCATATGCGTCTTGTAGGGTAGCAGACGACTTTCCTAAAGTTATACTGTGCATTATGAAAATTCTTTAATGGAATCATACCCTATGTAAAGATTCCTGTATGAACATTTATGTAAACAAGGATCAGGGAAGCTAGAAGGGAGCAAAGTTAAATATTTTTTAGGCCTGGACAGTTAGTTGAGGATGTTAAGATAATAAAATTTAACCAAACAGATGGATGATAAAGTGCTAGTTTCAGTATGATTGAACAATTGGATTTAGCCAAGCAGAAAGCAAACAATGTTCTTCCTCAAAAGAGAGTAGTAGAAGTCAGATAAGTAACGGCAAGTACTCTCTAGTGTGAATTTCCCTTTGTTCCAGGTAGTTACTGCACTTGCACTAAAAGGCAAAACAAGCAAAAAACACTTAGGAATGGCATTCGGATGTTTCCATCAGCAGTATTTTCTCAAGGTTCATTACTTTCTGTTAGTTTAGTTTTATTTAATGGAATCAGGGGTACTAGAAAAATACACTTATTTTGTGTATAATGTATCAGTGATAATAAAACCCCATGATTCTTCATTTAATGATCTCATCAGGAAATAAGACTATGTTTTTTTTTCCCCTTTAGTTTAGTAGAATTTATCTCTCATTGTCGTTGAGGGCAGTTAATGCTTTGAGGCAAATTTAAACACATCTGTAGGAAAATAAATTGAAATAAATTCTTCTTATATTCTTATATATAATTTCTGACTTCCTACATATATGTAAGCTCAGAGACCTGACACTCCTTTCTTGCTGCCTGAAATGATATGACATCTTTTATCAGCACTTTTAACTTCTGAAGCTTGTTTCACCTGTGAGCAGTGGATCTGAACTCCCTGCCATTGGATTTTAAATGATAGATGGAAGGTTTTGGCCTTCAGGTAGCCAATGCCTATGGTTTTTTAGTGAACAGCTCAGATTGCATTATGTATGAGTCAGTCTGGAAGCAGCGCAATCTGCCGTAAATAGGTGTGATACATTCAGCAGGGTTAGTTCTATCTTGTATGGGCAATTGAATTTTCTTATCTGTTTGATCTTTATACTTCATAACTCCCTTCATCAATTTTTAAGTGGTCCCTATCTCTTTTTATTTCTATGACTCCGTCTTGTTTTCTTCCTCTGTAGCATATTTAAGAAGGTAGCTCACTTGCAACCAAATAAATTTCAGTACTGATGAAAGGGAAAGTCACGTAAGATTGGCTAGATTATAAATACTGTGACTTGGAACACAACCTTTGTTGGTCCCAGTGCTACTGAACTGTATCATTTGAATTTACACATAATAATACTCATGTCAACATAGATGGGTGAAGACATACTGTGGCTGACTCTACCCACCCTGGTAGGTGCCTGGTTGTAAGCAGTACTGAGCTGGAGTTGCACAGCTCCACAGAACAGCATTCCTAAGCTAATATGCCCTGTTTCCATTCACTCAGAAGATACTTTTCATAGCAAATTAATATTTTTCCATTTGTCATTTGTTCAATATTCTGATGAATGTTCCATGCCTCCTGTTTGATATGTATATTTGTCTGTACTCTTAGATGAAGATGATATGGAAAGCAGAGCTTCACCTGAGCCAGATCTGACCCTGAGAGATTACCAGATGGAAGTTGCAAAACCAGCACTGAACGGGGAGAATATTGTCATATGTCTCCCTACAGGCAGTGGTAAAACCAGAGTGGCTGTTTACATTACCAAAGATCACTTGGATAAGAAGAGAAGAGCATCAAAGCCTGGAAAAGTTATAGTACTTGTTAATAAGGTATGTTGGTTCATTAAAAAAGAGAATTTTTCAAGCCTCATGCACTGTTAATACAGAATTTCTAAAATGAGTATAAATCCATTTCTCAGGTTCTCCAGATGCAGCTATGTTTAAAAGAATAAGGCTCTGGACTGTCATCTCCATTATATTGGTGCAAACATGAATGATTTTAATTTATCTGAGTCCAATTGGAATCAAAGTGTGCCATAATAACTACATCATTGGAAAAAGTACAATTCCTTGGTAGGATGAATAAAACTAAAACAGTATTTTAAAAAATCAGAAATCTGTTTTGCACATTGTGCATTTGGATTTGGTAATGAAAGCTACCTAATGAGCCTTATAGTACTTGAGGAATATTCTGTCAGATTTTCTGATAATGACTGTAATGTTTACAGTTACATTCACGGCATCTAAATTAAACTTTTTCTATTGTAATTTTAAAATATAAATATCTGAATATATTTAATAATCTTATAAATGATTAAAAGATACCCAGATCATCCTATAAGAAGAAAATTGATAGCATTTTATAAGCTCAGTTAAGGAGCCAGAGCATGGTTTGTTTGTTCTTTCTAAGGCACATTTAAGCCAAAGTTTTTGGAACAAAGTTTTGTAGGGGTTCGGGTCTGGGAGGCTTTGGTTTGGGATTTTTAGTGTTTGGAGGTTTTTTGTTTTGTCTGTTTTTTATTTAATTCTACCTTGCAGCAGTGAATAAGGTGGTGTTTGCCTTTAAAATAAAGTGTATGTTGCACAGAATGTATGTTCACCTAACAACATCTCTGACAACCCTGTGTAAGTTCTGGTTTAAATTCTTTGGAAACTTACTCAGGTACCATTGGTGGAACAGCATTTACGAAAGGAGTTTCAGCCATTCCTGAAGCGTTGGTATCAGGTTATTGGTTTAAGTGGTGATTCTCAGCTGAAAATCTCATTTCCTGAAGTTGTCAGAAGAAATGATGTCATAATCAGTACAGCACAGATCCTTGAGAATTCACTGCTAAACGCAACTAAAGAAGATGAGGAAGGTGTCCGCTTATCAGGCAAGTTTTTCACTCTGGATTTTTTACAGAGGGGCTAAAAGTATGACTGCTCTGGAAAACTGCAGAGCAAAAATGTGTGGGATTCAATAGTTAATACTTTTTTAACTGACTGGTTTTACAAACGCAAGCTGGACTCTGAGAGTCAAAGCCAGATCTTAAGTCAATGAGCATGAAAAATTTTCAAGCCAGATTAGACTCTTGCAGTTTATCTGTACTAAATATTGGTTGTGGTTCCCATTTTATTGAGCTCAAGCAGAATTTTGTGCAGATGCAGGTATACTGATGCCAGTTCCTAAGCTTGCTTAGGTAGTAGAACATTGAGTTATATCACGTAAAAGTTATAGAGAAGGTGTGTTTAAAAAAGGATAAAACTTCAAATGTAATCTCTAATTTGAAAAATATAATGGAATACAAGATAGGAACCAATCTGTTATAAAAGTTATATTCTTTAAGCTCTTATCATTTTACTAACATAGAGAGATAGGATTACTTCTTACCGCATCTCTGTGATGTAGGCAATATAATAGTCTCCAACAGCAGATGAAGGAAGTTGGGCAAAACAAAAGATAAAAGATGAGATGTAAAATTGTTTCCCAAAAATGAAAAGGGGTGGATATCTGTAGGAAATCGGAAACAAAATGGTTTACAAATGACTTACAAGTAATGGAAGTACGCATGACCTCAGCTCTAAGATTTGGGTTGCAGTGACTTTCCTCTGTAAGCAGTTAACTTCTCTCTGGATCTACTTACAGTCAACTCTTTATTAGGTGAGGCAGGGTGTAATGGAGGTATAGTGGAGAGAAGAGCTATGATGTTCAAAATAATGGATCTCAGATAGTATAAGTACTTGTCTGGGTAAGTACTTGTACTTGTTTCAGATCAGAGAAAGCTGAAGGGTCAGCCTGTGTCCATCATTGGCTAGCGCTGATTGGAGCACTGCTTGATCCAAACTAACTCCTGCAGAGCCACTTGAGTATTTCAGAATTGCATCCTTTCTTCCAGAATTCCTTATTATCTTGCACAGAGTACTAGAGATTTGCCTGTTTTTAATTTGCTTTCCACTGCATCCAAGTTAATAAACCTTCCCAGAATCTGAACCATTTGGAAATGCCATGTAGAAGCACCTAAATATTTCTACAGGAATAACTGACCTGATTAGAGTTGGGCTACCAGCTTGTGTCATGCAATGTTTTTTCGAAAGGGATCCACGCCTTGCAAAGCTTCTTTCACAAGGAGTTTTATATTTTTCAGAACTGAGGTGACCCTGCAAACCGTACAGCCATGTTTCCATGCTATTACACCTGTGCTAATAAGTTCAGCTGAACCAAAGCAAAGCAAGACTGGACAGAGCATGAGCCTGAACAGCTTCACTTTTATGGCTATGACTTGGTTAATTCACAGCCTCGATAAGCCATCCTTAAATAAGAATCTAGTTACAAGTATTTCATTCCTAATTTCTGTTCATCCTTCTTGTTTCTTCTGTTTCCACAGAGATCTGCATTACATGTAACATGGAATTCCAGCCTCTGTGAAATGGAGGAACTCTCTTAATTGCATTTTACCTAACATTTACCCTCTTTACCAAGGGTTGAAATCATTATGTGGACTTTCTAAATTCTGTATCTCACTTCCTTATTGGAAGCGCATCTCTTCTGGTGGGCTAGGTCCTTCCTGAGTAATCATAGGAATATACATTACAGAGATGATGGTCAAAATCAGAGAGAGTACTTTTATGCTGGCAAAATAACTCTATTCATGGTACTCTGAAAAACTGCCCGCGCTACTGCCAAAGTCTTGCAATATTCAGAAATGTTAGAAATAAATACAAATTTAGGTTTGAGATCCAGTCTGAACTGGTTTACCAGACCATTTGTGTGAAAAATAATCACATTTTCTCAGTGACATGGAGCATTTTGGTTTGCTTTCCTCACAGTACTCTTTGTTTTAGCCTCTGAATTAGATTTCGCATGTTCATTCTCCATCTTTCTCCAGATTCTTCAAAAATGAAGTTACATAAGGTTTTCTCCAGCAGAAAAGCCAATTCCTGCTCTCTCTTAGTTCCCAACTTTTGTTGCAGATGGTTGTGAACTTATCTGTATTGATGCAACAATTTGAGCAGGCTAACGTGTAAACAAGGCCCCTGAAATTGTCCGGTCTAAGAAAAGAAAATAAACGGGGGTGGGGGAGGAGAAGAGTTTAACCCAGAATATTTCAGTGATCTGCTTTACAGTCACTCCCACAAACAATTTTGTGAGAGATATTGAAAGGGCAGGGAACTGTAACACCGAGAGTGACTAGCCGGCTGGAGGTAAGGTGGAAGCTGCGTAAACTAGCTTTGCTGCTAGAGAAACCGTTTGAGATATGTTAATGAGTCTTTCAAATCAGAACCTTAAAATATATTTCACTGCCTGCATATGTAAACAGATCGGGGAGCTGTTTTATGTGAGAGAGATTTAAAACAAACACACACAAATCTTAATTTTCTTTTTCTAATCCTATAGTACTGCATATGTGTACCTGTTGCCTGCAAATATGATCTGACTAAAAAGTCTGCATGAGTGTCCTCAGCTACAAAAGAGAGATGATTGGTAGTGCTCTCACCATCTGTTTGTTCCTTCTAGTTACACATCCATAAAGTAATATAAAACCTTCTAATTGGACAGGGATAGGGAGGAAGTTTCTGGTTTGCTATAAAAAATGAAAGCATACTTTTGATCAAGACAGGCCTTTCTAGAATGTCTGTCTAACGTGTTATATGTTTTCCTAGACAAATGGTATGTAATTTGTCAGATGCAGTATGGAAATGCTTAAAAAGATAGGATCGAGTAAAACTATGATTTGTTCTTACCACTGGTTATTAAAAATATCTGTCTGAAATTCTTTGTACTATCAGTTCATTTTTGCAGAAATAAAAAAGCTTTCTACCCTACATGAAGTGTAAAATTACTTGTCACATCCAGAGTGCAGCAAGGATTCCAAAATCTGTTAAATATATGTAACTCTTCTGTTCACCCCTTCTCAAATACTGCAAATTTCCTAATATATGAAGGCTCAGACAAACTGACTGGATCTCTTCACAGTGTGAGAAGATATATTTACACAAATTCAACATTTGAAATAAAAATAATCATTTTATATTGGTTATTTTTTCCAGATTTTTCACTTATCATTATTGATGAATGTCACCACACTCAAAAGGAAGGTGTCTACAACAATATAATGCGACGTTACTTAAAAGAAAAGATGAAGAATGAGAAGCTGGCAAAAGAAAACAGACCACTAATTCCACAGCCTCAGATTCTGGGACTTACAGCCTCACCTGGTGTAGGAGGTGCAACATCCTATTTGAAAGCTGAAGAACATATTCTGAAAGTAAGTAACCCCTAAAATTGCAAATCACCACAGGAATATTGTTCTGTTCAAGTAAAACTTGCATTAAAGTCAGTGTTAGGCTCCAAACATATCTGTTTTTTTTTTTTCATCTGTACGTGGCGTGCAGCTCACAGTCAGTCAGTAAACTGACCTGCTACAAGTTTATGGAAATTCTTGTATGAATAAAGGTTACTTACATTAATAGGGAAGTAAAAAGATTGCGTAACTTGAAAAAAAAAATCTCAAGATCAGAGATAATAAATCCACAAAATGGCGAGGGTTTTTTATTAATAAAAAGCTGATTTTTCTATTGCTGGATTAGTATTTACTGAGTATTCTTAAATCCTAGAGACATCACAGTATTTTTTATCTGTATTTCTAGAACTGCTAAGCTGGGCTTTTGTGTGGGTCCAAGAAAGTAGAAAAGCTAAGCTGAATACTTAAACAAGCAGAAACTATTTGTGAGGTACAGATAGCATGAAAATGTGTTTATTTCCAGCAGTTAGAGATACTCATTGAGAGGGGAGAAGTGTGTAGTTGCATAAACACCTGGCTGGAGCTAATTGATTAAATTCAATACTTATTCTATACTATACATTTTATACAGCTGTGAATCTAAGACTCTATTTTACATGAAGTCCAATGGATTTATATTGGTGATACAAAACATAATTTAGTCCAGAAAACTCTTGACTAGCAAATTGCACTAGACCAGAATATGGAATTGAAGAGGTGAGGCCTCAAAGAAGCGTATTTTATGCTGTATTGAAGTGGGTAGAATTGTGAGATATTGTGAGAAAATGGGAAAATCAGAGAATTCCTTTTCATCTGCTTTGAAATCCTAATGATAGGATAGGAGGTTTTTGTATGTAACAAAATGTAATCTGAATGTGTAAGCTCAGATAACTACTGATGAAGACATTAAGAAGGTTGCCTGCCAGACTTCCTCCTTTTTGTTCTATGTTCGTAAAAATTTTAAGGTTTCCCCTTATTTTAAACTTAGTCACAGAAATGTTAACATATTTTTTGAAAAAGATGAAAAGCAGCAAAGTCCAGTAAAGTTGTGCAGTTAGCACAGAAAGTTTTTTCATCACTTTCTGTTCCAAGAAAGATAATTTCATATTATTTTCTACTATCAAATCTAGCTCTTACTTCCATAATTACTCCTAACATTACATTTCTTTTATTCTGTTTCACTATTCTTTTTATTTGGTTGCTTGAGCTGTGCTCCAAAAAATTCTCCAAAGTATTGATGGTATATTTTACTTCACAAAAAAACTGTTTTGCAGCCTAATCTGCATATTTTTTCTTATGTGTAAGGACCACTTCTAGCCTAAGTAGTAGGTTGTTTAGCTTTTCTCAAATGCTTGTCAAAGACTTGGCTTTTCTCATGCTGACAGAGATGCATACCATTTTGTAGGAAGAAAATAAACTAAATTATATATAAAAGCATTATCGAAATGAAAAGCTGTATTGCTTTAATTCAGTTTTCACATGGAATAACTCACAAAATGTTAACATTAACAGAAAGAACACTCTATTTTGTCCCAGTTCTGTGCCAATCTTGATGCATGTAGAATCATGACTGTTGAAGAGCATGCCTCCCAACTGAGGAATCAGGTGAAGGAACCATATAAGAAGACTGTGATTGCAGATGACAAAAGAAGGGTATGTTTTGTCAAACTAATCAGGGTTAAAATTACATTGCCCTTTAAAGGTGTTTTGGATGCTATGGAATGACTTTGCCTAATACTCTTTTTCTGTAGATTTATTGTGATATATAGTACTAATTTGGATATGTGGGTGTATCTGCTGCATTCCTTCCAATGGACAAGTATCAGTAAAGTAAAATAAAACCAAATTTTTAAGATGCTTCTCTTTAGTTTTTGAGGTAACTGGTCAAAGGACCTTCTGAGTAATAGCTGAAATGCTTGTACTGGGGTGCCATTATATTCACTAAAAATGTTATGTTCACAGGGTAGTTAGTTTTTATAATGTCCTAAAGTATTTACTGTGAGTATTGTGACTCATGCTTAGAGGACCAGTACGCTTAGCAAGCTTAATTTCTTTTGAAGAAATTTCTTTCGAAGTTAAGGTTTTAGGTTTTAAAAAGTTACTCAATGTGGTGTTAGCCAAAAGAGTTTGGTCCGGTGTTTTTGTTACCAGAAGAAAGATGTTTACTTGTTTTTGTAATCAATTTATTTGTAGGATCCGTTTAGAGAGAAAATTATCGAGATCATGACCGACATTCAAAACTATTGCCAGCTCCATCCAAAATCTGAGTTTGGAACTCAGCCATATGAGCAGTGGGTGATTAGGGAGGAGAAAAAAGGTAAATGGACAGAGAAAATTTCCTGGCTTGGGACTCTTGGGGTTGTTTTATACACAGGCATGGTTTTATATATGTTTTATTTGCTTTTAGCGGCAAAAGAAGAAAAACGCAAGGAACGTGTGTGTGCAGAACACCTGAAGAAATACAATGATGCTTTGCAAATAAATGATACCATTCGAATGGTTGATGCATACAATCACCTAAGTAACTTTTATAAGGAGGAAAAAAGCAAGAAAACAATAGTGAGTGATGATGAGGATGAACCAGCAGTATCAAAACAGGATGAAACAGATGAATTTCTAATAGGTTTATTTTATGGTAAGCTTGAAATACATGGTGATATTTAATATTTGAACTCCACACAACCAACTACTTTGCACTAACATAATTTGTATGGGCCCATTAGTTATTACTTCCTAGAGACTGCTGCGTTATTTATTATGACAATGTTTGGATGTCCCAGTTCATACAGTAAGGAATACATTAAACCAAATCACACAGCATGAGCATGTCCCATCATATAATTCAAGTTCTTCAACTTTGTCCCAAGGGCACTTCCTTTTTGCAGCTAATAAGTACAAATTTTCTCTCCTCTTCTCTGCTGAAGCGTCCCTGAGAGACACTTTATGATAGATTGTCCTTTCCATGTAGTAGTCACTCTTGAGGGACAAAAAGTTGACCAACTGGAAGACAAAAGTAATGCAGAATGGTGGTTATTCAACCGACCTCCTCTACCAAAGTTTGTTAGTAAGAAAAGGGAGTGATGTCCCTGAGTAAGCTCCAAATAAAGAGCAGTTAGTGAGAGAAATAAACAGAAGATTAAATTGCAGAGGCCAAAGTTAGTTGCCTTTTTCTCAAATCATCCCCTTTGGAACTGTGGTTTATTCAGTCTTTGACACGCTAATCTTTTTTCTCGCTTTTCTTCCCTTACTGCCCACAGTGCAGGATTGCTCCAATGCCATATGGCTCATGGATGGTGCAAAAGAAAATAGATTTTAATGCAGCACACATCTCAGCTTCAAGTAGCCTGTAAACTACAAATTTTGAATGCCACTGTTAAGAAATTCAGGACCTGTTAGAAAATTTTAGAAAAATGGATTAGGTTAAATAATGTCATTGTGTCTTTTGTGACTCTTCATACCTGTCTTTGTGCCCCCTTCTTTAGAGTTTCAGTATTGAATTTATTACCTAATCATTACTGAGAATCAGAAAGTTAAACTAATTAAAAAATGAAATTGAGTTGTCTAGATTTTTTTCATTTCCACAGGTAAATGAAGTTCAAAGAACCTGATAGTGAAAAACAAATTATATTTCAGAGATCTGTCCTGATTTTACCACTGAAGAACCATGACCTAGGTCTTTAAAAATTTTAAATTAAAAAAATATAAAGTGTGATAGTCCTCCCTGGTCATGGTCATGATCAGTAGTGCCTGTGTAAGGGAGTCATTCATCTCCCTGTGGTTTATGCGGTCTCACTGAAGCATATCTAAATTTCTCACTGAGTTGTCTCACTGAGCATATCTAAATTTCTTTAAAAGCTACAGTACAGATAACAAGGTGCCAATGCTGGTGTCTATTACATTGCAAGTTTCCAGTGAGGTTTCCTACTTTAATGAGTATCCTAAGGAATGTATCTTGTGTCTAAGTTTATAGAAATACATCAGCTCTGAGAGCTGCACATATTAATATTTCTCCACATGAGACTCTTCAGTTATTTTAAAACTGATAAGCTGTGATTTAGCCTATAAATACAGTGCACTTAACTGTGCACCACTTCTGGTATCTCGACAGAGGGTTTTCACCATGGAATATAGGCAAAGTGTATGGTAAGATGTTGTGGTGATTTATTTTGATTGATTAGTGTGCTTTTAATAAATATAAACTAACTTGAAAAATAAATTGATATGCCACAGCCCTTCGTACTGGATGTGAATTAGCCTGCTAGGAGGATTATATAGAAAGTTGCTCTTCTTTTTTTGATATTTTTAGAGCTTTTTTTTTTTTTTACACGGTTGCATTTTGTTAATTCACATTTGTTATTTTTAAAGCAAAAAAGAAACAGCTGAAAAAGTTGGCTAGAAATCCAGAATATGAAAATGAGACGCTAACACAGCTGCGAAATACTTTAATGGAGGAGTTCACCAAGACTGATGAACCAAGAGGAATTATTTTCACAAAGACCCGGCAAAGTGCCTTTGCTCTGTTTCAGTGGATTAAGGATAACACAAAATTTGAAGAAGTGGGAATTAAAGCCCATTATCTTATTGGCGCTGGACACAACAGTGAAATTAAACCCATGACTCAGGTACAGAACTAGGCACTACAGTGTTAACATTTTATTCATGTTTTGAAGAAACAGCTTGTTTTAGTACCTGAATACAGAAATGAAGTTTGGAACCCAGAGTTCTAGTCTCATGCCTGCCACCAACTTACCATCATAAGCTGCAGCTTAGTAAAATAACAGTATCTTAATAATTTTATTTCCACAAGAAAGACTGTATGAGACTAACAGGCAGTCATTTCCTAGGGGAATATGTAGTCAAAAGGGATACAAGTCTTAGTTAGATGTAGGAAGAAAACATAGTGCCCAAAATGGTCGTAGCAAAAAAATGTGTTACTTAGAAGAGTGTGTATTTATCGAGACAACAGTAATTCTAATTATATTTTAGTTGCTGAATTGAAAGATAAAATGAATTAGTGTTAATGATGCCTGTTGTTTTCTGATATTGCTGCTTAATGAATTTATACCAACTTACATCCATGCTTTACACTGACACATAATCATTAAATGAGAATTTTCCAGAATTCACATTGAAAATTTCACAATTAATCACTCAGCAATCTGTCTCATACCAGTATGTATTGACTTCTCACACAGCATCTCCCTACTGTTTTGTAGCTTTGAATCAAACAGTTTTCACAATTAAGTACTTCAGTATGCTAGACGTCACTTCTATTCTGCTTTTAACTCCTCATAAAATTGCCACTTCAGTGTTTAAGCAAAAATGGTGGTGATTACTGCTGGATAGAGTCCATTTACTTCAGCTGCCCTCAGTTGTAAAAAATATTAGGCATTGTTTTCTCACAAAGATGCTTGCTTTCTATGAAAATCTGTTCTTTCAGTTGTGTACCACATTGCACAAAGCAATAACTTCTAGATTTTGAAACTGAATATAGCAAATAGGAAGTTTCTGTCCACAATTCAAAAGGTGTCGTATGTCCCTGTGTTCAAGCTTGTTTGAGATGTCCAGCTAATTCAGAAGTCCCAAGTTCTGCATACTTTATTTTAAGTGTATCACCACTATGCTTTTTGGTACTCTACATAGCAGTCTTGGCAAAAAAATTAAGTTATTATGGGGAATTTTAAGTGCTGTGGAACCTGACTTGGAAGTGCTGAAATCTGTACTTCAAACTGAAGTTATGGAAGTGGTAGAAATTTAAAACCTCTGAATAACTACTTAAAGAACTTGCTAATGATAGAATGAAGAACTGTATTACCAAATCTCCCCATGACAATGAAATGGGGTTGTCAACTAAAAAGTTCCAGATCTTCAGTGCTTAAGCTCAGTTACCTTAAAAAGAAAGGCTTCTGCTCCCTCCTCCCTCAAAAAGGTGCTGAACGTTTATTACATTCAATGGGGACCCCTTGTTGTTTGTGATCTTGAAAGATGCTTAAATGCAACTATTTAAGCCACTGTTTGATACTGTGCTCTGAAAACTTGGACTATAATTCCTTAAACATATTAATTGCCAGAAACTAATGTCAGAAACTCATACTGAAAGTTACTATCCTGATTTTTTTTTAATTTATAGAATGAGCAAAGGGAAGTCATTGGTAAATTCCGAAATGGAAGTGTAAACTTACTCATCGCTACTACTGTAGCTGAGGAAGGCCTGGACATCAAGGAGTGTAACATTGTTATTCGCTATGGCCTTGTCACCAATGAAATTGCTATGTTGCAGGTATGAGTTTACTGCATATCTAACTTACTTTTAAAAGTGCTTTTCCATTTGGACTATGCAAATAGTGAATCATATACCTAGGCTTTGGAGGTAATTTTAGAATACTTGCATGCTAAAGGAGAGAATGTTCTTGTTAACAAGGTTCATTTCCAAAGGTCATCCTCAGTCAGCATGCAATATAAAATTTGCCTTTCTGTGTAATGTTCATTCAGGCTCATAACAACCAAAGCCTTGTCCAGAAAAGGTATGAGAATATGATCAGAGAAGTGGTTGAAACTGATTTTCTATTCTTGTACAATGGAGAAAAAATGGACTTTCATCTCATTTCCCTTTCACACCCCTATGCTTTCTAATGCAGTAGTATTTCCAGCTTATGATCAGCTGGTATTATATTAATTGTTTTATGACCGCTGGACATACCTAGAGGAAAGATGCATTGGGAACACTCTTCTGTCTCTGTAATAAACTAGATGTATAAATTAATAAAGATAGATAAAAAGAGATAATTGCATATCAGAATAACAGTTTGTCCATATTCTTATTTAATTTGTGAACACATTTGAGATGTTTAAGTGCATGCTTATTCTTTGGTGGCAAGATACATTTTCTGCTTTGCAAAATGTTGAGCTAATCACAAATCTCCTGAACTATGAAAAAGTGTTGTGCAGTATTATGAGGAATGTAGTGCTGTTTATGTTGTATTCCTTGCAAATTGTAGGCCCGTGGTCGAGCTCGAGCTGATGAGAGCACCTATGCACTTGTGGCTTCAAGCAACTCAGGAGCTGTTGAACGTGAGGATGTTAATAGTTTCCGTGAGAAAATGATGTATAACGCCATTCAGCGTGTCCAGAAGATGCCACAGAAAGAGTATTTAAAAAAGGTATTTGCTGCAACTCTGCATTTTTCTTTTAAAGAGGGCTGGTTTATATTTTAAAGAATACTTCTATTTGAAAACCTACTTAGGGGAAGAAAACTTAAAATAATATTAGCTGCTACATCTGGCCTTGAATTCTTCTGCTAATATTAATTTTATAACCTGTGTTTTCTGAGCCTCTAGAAATATCTGTTTTGCTGTTGATAAGGGGGAAAACACACAATTAGGGGGAAGTGACCAGGAGTGGTGTTGTCAGTGAACTCAGTAAAATAACTGAAATAGAACTGCTTTTTATTCATATCTCTTTGTTGCTGTAGAAGACATACTATATTAGACAAAAAGGTTATTTTAAGTTGAAAATATCCTGTTAATTTAAGTTTTCAGGATAAGTTTTACTTTTTAGGCCCTGGGATTTATGAAAACAAATCTCTGTATTTACTGATCTGCTACTGTCATTCCACCAGAATGTTACAGTGCTCTTATTGATCTGTTTCTAGATTCAGACCTTCCAGTTGCAAAGTATAATGGAAAAAAAAATGAAGGCAAAGAGAGATCAGTGTAAGACATATAAGAAAAATCCTTCACTAATAACATTCCTATGCAAAAATTGCCACAAGCTGGTATGTTCAGGAGAAGATATACAAGTTATTGAAAACATGCATCATGTCAGTGTGAAAAAAGATTTCCAGTAAGTATTTATGAACTACTGTATCTCTTCCAGGCAGAAACAGATTTTCTTTTCAATAGGGCTGTATAGAGCCTGTAACTCTCAAGGCACTGTGACGGAAAAAAGATTATTCCAATATTGTCAAGTCCTAAGCTCTACGGATTTTGCACCTTATGAGTTTGAAGGAATGGTGGTTCTAACCCTTAATTTCCAGCTCACCAGAGACTGAAACTTTGGAAAAATTAAAGTTCCTGTGGTACTGTTAACTAGGTCATTTGATATCTATTCCACAGTGCAACTGCAACTAAAGCTGAATACCAGTTATCCAGTGCAAAGAGATCTGTTTACTTATATCAGTAATTGACTCGACTCAGGAGAAAAGTTTGAGCCATGACTAATGAACAACATACTGGCTACAAGCTGTGCATTTGACAATTGTGTGCTTAGAGAATGTTAATTCTGGTGACCCACCTCAGAGTGTGCTCTTGCTCTTTCTTGTCTCCATTGCAAGAGATGCCATGCTGTCTAGTTTGGTAAACATTGGCCTGTGTTAAGCTGTATTTAACTTTTCAGTGTCAAGCGTGCAAGGAGGTGACTTTTACCATTCATAATGCAAATTAAGAGACTAAGAAAATATTTTAGTTCAACTTCAACTGGATTTGCTTAATGTAGTAAATTTGTAATGGGTATTGTGCATCACAGATCAGTCATGCTTTGCTAATTATATAGCAGACTCCATCCTGCCAAGTTACTGCCCTCCAGAGTTCTCCTTTCATTGAGATACATTACTGGTACAATTTGTAAAGACTTTTGAAGAGTTAATGAGAAATTAGTACCCATACACTGAGAAAAGGAAAACTGAGCTGCAGCCATAAACATTCAACTGCTTCTACTGTGAAACTGTTTTGTCAGTTATCAGTCCATCCAAACTATATGATAATAATTCTTATAACCCTTCAGCATGGCCTAATGACTCTCAGCATCAAGTACTCCCTAAACTAAATGGTACAAGAATGTGCATGTACTCTGCAGCTCTGGATAGTCAGAATCAGATGATTCTGTTACGGGGTAAGGCTGGACTACAGGGAATAGAAAGAAAACCTCTAGTTTGCAGGTATCATTTCTTTGACAGTTCTATGGCACCTGAAAAAAACAAGCTAGATCTATCCCCTATTATAATGGAGAGCCTGCTGCTCCTACCTTGGGGTGGGGCAGAACATAAGATACAACCTCTCCCCCTGCTTTTTAAGCCTCCTAAAATGCTACCAGAGGAGGTGTGGAGTACAGTTGTATCTCACCCTTACTTAAGAGCGTGAAGTATGACCTTACTTTCTCTCCAACTCCTGAATGTGCACAACAGTCAGAGATTGTTGTGTGACTGACTTCAGCAGTTGTAGTCACTGTGTCTTTAGGGCCATCTGTAGCACAGAAAGACCAATGTATTCTGACTTGTGCTTCCTGTCTGTTTTTCAGAAGCCTTTATGATAAAAGAGAAAATAAGACACTGCAAGATAAACATGCTGATTACCAGACAAATGGGGAAATTATATGTAAAGACTGTGGACAAGTGAGGAATAACTTATTTTCCTTGGTTTTGTTTGTTGTTGTTTGTTTGTCTTTATTTCTGTCTAATGATACTGTCTATTTTATCTAAAATATGATTTCCTTATGTTTGCAGGCTTGGGGAAATATGATGGTTCACCGAGGTCTTGACCTGCCTTGTCTAAAGATTAAAAATTTTGTGGTTGTGTTTGAAGACAAGAAAACAACAAAGCAAATTTTTAAGAAATGGGGAGAACTGCCAGTCAGGTTCCCTGTTTTTGATTATGCAGGTCATTGTCCTTCAAGTGATGAAGATTAAGGACGCTGAAAAACAGCTTTTATTTTCATTCTGTGTTTTTCTGACTGCTGATTAGAAGCTCCTGTCTCACGTAGTGAGGACTGCACATAAAAACTGTGACAAGGCCCTGAGCTTGGGGAAACTGTCTTGAAGAGAAAAAAAGACCTGAGAGAGGAGAAGTCACATCGCCACTGCCTGCACTCAGATTTGCAGCAGTGCTCTGAAACAAAGAATAAGACCAAATACCTTGCAATGGTGTGTATTCATGAAACAAATTCCCCTTTCTACTCAATACAGTCCTGTGTGGGGTGGACAATACTGGCAGAAATATGTTAGGTGACCAGTGTCCCAGCATGGAACATAAGACAGACATCTTTGGACTTGTTCATGGTGATCATTTCCTATTTTTCTGCTGCAACCCTTTTGAAGATCAATTGTCTTAGAAGAGGAGCTGAGTAAAGAGAATAGATGAGCTGAGCGTTATTGCTGAATCATTGTTGATTTGTCACTGTTCCCATGGTTGAGTTCTCCCCCATCTTATCTTTCGCTGTTAGCGCATACCATTTTTACAGACTAAAATGAAGTTCCCATTAAAAGACTTTTAAATCAACTTGAAATCAACTTGAAATTATTTTAACGTCCGAGAAGCACAATGCCAAGTGTAACTTTATATGTGTTGGTTTTATAGGACTGTTAAACAATGGCTATACAATGTATTTCTTCAATAAATAGCTGTAATGAATAACCTTTGCCAGCTCTGATGCTGTTTATTCTCTGTCACTGTAAGTATTTTGATAGTACTAATGCCACAGTTTCACCCTAGAAATTTACAGAATACTGGTATTCTGACTGCAAAAATATCATAATATGTCTCCATATTTATCTAATTGACAGATTCCACCCCCATTTGCAAGTAAACTATTGGAGAGTGGAAAGAAGGTCTGTTTGTTGTTTTAAGTGTCAGCTTTGCAAATTCAAGATAAAGTGGTATACGTTTACTGGCATAGGCATGTAAACACTTGAGTAGCCCCAGGTAAAATTTGTAAGTTACAACATAGCTGAAAAGTATTCCTTTGAATATATCCTGGCAAAAAGAATCTTGTTTATGCCTAGATCTGTACTTGCTCTACATTTTTAATAGGAATGGAAGATACTGTGCACATTTTTTAAATCATATTTGATTCCAGGTATGCATCAGGACCAGATTTGGGGATTTATCGTATTTATGACCATGTTCCAGGGGGAAAAAAAGTCTCAGTTCTGACTGAGACAAGTGGCATATTTCAAAAATCACCAAACTGACACAGGCCATTTCAGTGATGGCCTCTTACTTATAAACAGATTGTAATTATAAAATAAATACACACACTGAGTTTTCACTGTGGGAGTTTTGTAGATTACAAGCTACAGAAATTGTGACTTATTTATAGATTGAAATTCACAGAATGGTTGAGGTTGGAAGGGACCTCTGGAGATCATCTAGTCCAATCCCCCCCTGCTCCAGCAGGGTCACCTAGAGCATATTTCCCAGGATCACGTCCAGACGGGTTTTGAATATCTCCAGGGAAGGAGACTCCACTACCTCTCTGAGCAACCTGTTCCAGTGCTCTGTCACCCTCACAGTGAAGAAGTTTTTTCTCAGGTTTAGGTGGAACTTCCTGTGGTTCAGTTTCTGCCCGTTGCCTCTTGTCCTGTCGCTAGCCACCACGGAGAAGAGACTGGCCTCATCCTCTTGACACTCCCCCTTCAGATACTTATACCCAGTGATCAAATCCCCCTTCAGTCTTCTCTTCTCCAGGCTGAACAGGCCCAGCTCCCTCAGCCTTTCTTCATAGGAGAGATGCTCCAGTCCCTTCATCATCTTTGTAGCCCTCCACTGGACTCTCTCCAGTAGCGCCATGTCTCTCTTGTACTGGGGAGCTCAGAATTGGACACAGTACTCCAGGGGAGGCCTCACCAGGGCTGAGTAGAGGGGCAGGATCACCTCCTTCCACCTGCTGGCAACACTCTCCCTAAGGCACCCCAGGATACCATTGGCCTTCTTGGCCACAAAGGCACATTGCTGCCTCATGTTTAACTTCTTGTCCACCAGGACTCCCAGGTCCTTCTCAGCAGAGCTGCTTTCCAGCAGGTCAACCTCCAGCCCGTACTGCTGCATGGGGTTATTCCTCCCTAGGTGCAGGACCCTGCACTTGTCCTTGTTGAACTTCAGGAGGTTCCTCTCCGCCCATCTCTCCAGTCTGTTGAGGTCCCTCTGAATGGCAGCACAGCCCTCTGATGTGTCAGCCACTCCCCCCAGTTTAGTATCATCAGCAAACTTGCTGAGGGTGCACTCTGTCCCTTCCTCCAGGTCATCGATGAATA